GAAGAAATTTAATTTGGATGGTCCTGATGGCTTTTCTTACTACTGGCATGATCTGCGTAAGGAGGAAGAAATTTTTTCAACTCGGGCACAAGGTGGGGGCAGTGTTATGATTGGGGCATCCTTTGGTTGAGGTGGTAAAAGCTCAATATGTTTTGTAGATGGGCGGAGATCTGCTTGGATTTTTCAGCAAGATAATGTTCCTGTTCATCGGGCGAAGGTCAACGTTACTTGGTTCAAGTCTAAGAAAATCAATGTTTTGCCCTGGCCATCATTATCCTCTGACTTCCACCCAATCGGAAATTTATGGGGAATATTGGCAAGAAAGGTTTTTGCTGAAGGGAAACAATTTAGAACCAAAGAGCAGTTAAAAACTGCTATATTAAAATCATGGGAAGAAATAAGTATTGATCAGCTTTGGGGTTTAGTCAATGCGATGCCAGAAAGATTATTTGAAGTTAATAAGTTAAATGGAGCAAAAACTAAATATTGATTGTTATTTTTGTTCTTATTTTTGTACTTTTTTTACTGTGTTCTTATACATTTGCACCATGAAAAGCTATGAAAAGTTCAGAGTAGATGAAAAAGAAGCAATATACTGCTGAAAATTTAGCAGCTGGATAGTGGCCTAATAGTCGCTCTAATTTCAAATAATTAGCTTCATCTGATTCTCCTAAGCGCTAAAACTAGCGGTCTTATAATTATGCACCCCACCGTATTTTATTAAGGAAAAAGAAAGTCTTTTTAAACCAACGGATAAAGAGCTGATGTAGCAATTCCACATTGATTTTGTTTATTTCGACTCATAAGTATATAACCACGAATTCCCCAACTAGCTGCCCATGAATTTTTCACAATGTAATAATCTTTACCATTTAATGTTCCATATCCAACTGCTAAAACAGCATGGTCAAGTCTTTTTGTTGAACAATTAGGCTCGTCATAAACTCCACTTGAATAAAATTGAAATGAACCTTGTGAAGCATCAATTGAAACTGCTATCGGACCAATTGTGGCAATAGCAGCTTGAAGATCTGTTTCATTATGTTTTTTTATTCGAGTATATCCTGTAATTGTGGCAGCAACATGTATTTTATTAAATTGGCATATATCACGTTCAGCCCAATATGGATAAGAATTTTCATCCGAAATTCCATGATGCATTTTAATATAATCATAAGCAAGATCTTGATTACCACCATTACATCCGAAATTAAGTAATGAACAATCAACTAAATTCTGTTCAGAAAGTGGAATAAGTTGTGATGTTTTTGCAAAATGTTGTCCTTCAAGTGCACCTGTTGTTGAAAAAGCCCAACATGAACCGCATTGACCTTGATCTTTCACATATGTTACATAACCTTTTGTACGCCAATCTATTTATTTGAGATGTAAAGATATACATCAAAACAAAAGAAAAGAAAGCTAACTTACCAACATCGTCTGGTAAAACAAAATCTTCTGGTGCTGAAAATATTTGTGAATTACTTTCATCTTTTGAGGACATTTCATATCCATTCATTTGTTTACGAAATTCTTCATTATTTAAATCACCAAATTGATTCATTGCAAGTGTATAACTATGAAGTCCCAAATCGACTTCAAGGTTATGTTTATTTATCATTACTACATTTTCTTCCCAGATTTGACGACTATAGGATTGCAATTACCTTAATTTGTTTATTTCATTTAAAAAAAATTAACAAACCGATTTATTTCTTCTTCATTGGAGGAATATCGTTTTTTAAAAACACGTTTAAATAAAGACCAAGATTCATTCGATGTTGGGAAACAATGTCCACTGATAAGAAACGCACATAACAAAATAAAAGCTTTCATTGTCGATGTATGTTAGAATAATCACAATGATATCATTTATATATAAGCACCGATTTTTTTCTGCTTCGCCATATGTTTTAGATAAGAACACTAGTTTTTGCTCTATCATCAAAATGAAGAGTAGAAAAATGATAAATAAGAATCGGTAATGTCCGTTTGAGTGAGTCCGCTACACTTTGCTGAAAATTCACCTGCATAAAACTTCTTTTGTAACGAAATCCCGCGGGTATCGATGCAACAGTCACTTTTAATCAGATTCTGCTATAGCAACAATATTTTCGCTTATACCTTTCTCCAGTATCCTCAACCACGCCCTGACCCTCTGGCTTCGAAGTTGATACCGACGTCGTCGTATATTAAGAGATGTAATATGTAAATCGATTGTACATTAATGTTTCATTTCAAATCTCAGCATGATATAATCTCTTGTTATTTTCAATCTTCTCACCTATGATACTCTTTCCCTATTTAAGCATAAGTGTGCGTTGCATTATGGAATAGATGTATTCTGAATATGTGAGTAAGCTCAATAAATAAATAAATAAATAAATAAATATATATATATACCATGAGAGGCGGTTAGCTACTCAACCAGTTTGTCGTTACATATAATTTTAAAACTGGAAAAAAATCTTGATGACTCATTTTGATCATACAAATCAGCTATGATATGATGATCGCTAAGAATAAGTCAAATATACATATTTGAAAGTAAATGAATTGCCTTCTCACTCGAACTTTTGTTTGTCTAACAGTCTTTTGAGAAGAGCTATAGATAAATTGTGTTATCTGTTTATTGTAAATTTAATGTATCGTTATGACAGGATGCTGATATAAACATGACACCTTTTTTATTGTAGAAAGGTACATTTCTATTGACGCCTAGTCCATACTGGCAAAACTATAATATTCACAAATAAGCTAGAAAAGTTAGTTTATTACATTTGTTGTTAAGTCATGGATTATATAATTCGGAACTAGCTAAATATAAATTGTCAATAGATCCACCACTGACTAATACTTTTCCATTCAACAATAAGCATGCTGTATGAAATTCGCGATTAGAAATCATACCATCAACTGTTGTCCACATTTTCGTTGAAGGATCATATAATTCAACACTATCGAGAACTTTTCTTTCATCAGACCCACCAGTAACTAATACTTTTCCACTATGCAGTAATACTCCTTGATGATTACATCTTGTATTATTCATTTTACCAGCAAATTCCCAGCGACCGGTTAATGGATCATATAATTCAGCAGTATTATACACTTTAGTATTATAAGATCCACCTGTAACTAGCACTTTACCATCGGATAAGACGTTTGCTGTATGTCGCTCTCGTGCCTCATTCATATTAGCTGTAGTAGTCCACTTTCCTGTTGTTATGTCATATAATTCAGCACTATTTAAAAATGTAGGATTTGCATATCCACCTGTAACTAATATCTGTCCATTTGACAATAGAGATAATGTATGTCGATTTCGTGCATGTGTCATACTACCAGTAGTACTCCAAATTCCAGTTGATGGATCATAGATTTCTGCACTACTCAAAAACCCAGAATCATTGTTCCCTCCACTAATTAATACGTTTCCATTCGATAATATTGATCCGGCAGCCAAATGTCGAGCATCTCTCATGTTACCAGTCATTGTCCATATTCCTGTTGATGGATCATATACTTCTGCAGTATTTAAATATTTAGGGTAACTAAGCCCACCAGCCACCAATACTTTTCCATTCCTCAGGGTCATTGCTATGTGTCCGTAACGTTTGTTCTTCATAGTACCAGTAACTGTCCAAAGTCCTATCAATGGATCATACAGCTCAGCAACGTTTAAATCGGATGAATTATGAATTCCTCCGGTGATTAATACTTTTCCATTTTTTAGTAGGTTTGCAGTGTGCTCAATTCGAGCAATGTTCATATCAGCAGTAGTTACCCATCCTACAGACAGTATGTAATATATAATGAAGAAAGGAATACAACTGTATCACTTACCTGGCTTCTCAGTTGTAGTGGTTGTTCCTATCGTTGTGGTGATAGTAGTGGTTGTTCTTATCGTTGTGGTGGTAGTAGTGGTTGTTCCTACCGTTGTAGTGATAGTAGTGGTTGTCCCTGTTGTTGTACTGATAGTAGTTGTTTTCTTTGGAGTAAGAATAACAAATTTCAACAAAAGACTGAAAACAATAATGAGTACTCCTAAGATTATCAAGGAAATACAAAAAATCTTGAACCGACGATGATGCCAACATGAATGTGATCGAATATTTCGACTATCATAGTCGATATATGCCTTGTTAGTATGCATATGGTAGTGATATAAAAGGAGCGAAGCGTAAATTACATATAAACTGATAAATTATTTGACGTTCTCATTTTATATTTATGTAGAATCATAGTAGAAATAATAACAACTAAGATAAGAAATATTATCTTTTTACTTTAAGTTACATATATCAGTATGATATTGCAACAATATGAGTATGTGACTAACTATTTTGCAAATACACATTCATGACAAAGATTTTAAATCATTACTAGACAATCACGTTATCTGTTATGATACCTTCAGAAAAAAAAGCAGTTTGAATTCATTTTTTCATGTTAGTAATATCGTTTCGTGAGAACATATGCATGACAATGAACTATTGTAAACTTAGTTCTTTTATTAGTAATAACTTAGATCGATATAATTGATCAAGTGAAGTATGAAGCTTGTTCGAGGCTGTTTAGAACATGATAGACCTATATCAATATTGGGTGCCTGTTATTTATTCAACCAGCAGATCCACCCTACTTTTTCAAATATCATGACGGCGCTTCCCACAACCCCTCACAACTTGATGAGTTATGTTCAGATTTGCCCACACTCACCCACTTTACAAGCGTTTTAACGAACATAAACCTTCGACAAACAGTAAAAAATAATGGCATCACCAAGGTGCGATTTCAACCTCTGGATTCACGATTAATCAGTATATTCATCGGCAGGTAATTGACTACATACCTATTTTCAATTATCTTTATTCGACAACAATCAAATACTTTGAGTTTCTACTTTAGAAAAAGTTATATTTGCAAGAAAAATCACGAGATCACACACATCCCTAGTTGCAAACAGCATTCACGCAGTAAAAAAGGGAACACACTTCAGAAAAGTCATTCCTACAACACAAGGATTCGAAAGAAATCTCTAATTAAAGATTAAGTGTAGATTGCTCATAGTGAGAAAATGATTTCTCCTAAAAATAAGGATTAATATGACGAAACAAGTCGACTAACAATCATGATCATATTAACATTCCACAACATCAAAACATCTTGAAAATGATCAAGTGCAATGTTTATGACTAATCAGTTAACGACCATAAAGAACTGAGGAGACACCGATGTGTGGAGAGTTATTTAATCATAAGAAAGCGATACTACTGGTATGATATTTAATTATGCTTTCTTTTGTGGAATTCACGTTATTTTTCGAAGAAAAATAGTGAATGTAAGTTCTATATCCAGGATCTTTTGACCTCCTCCCCCTCTCCATGGGCCGCAAGCCGCTACGGGGTCATAGAGTGTAAGGGCGACAAGGGCTATACAGGGTCAGCCCTTCAGGACTACAGGCACGACACAGGATGCAGTCACTGTAACGACTATTGTAGCCGTACGACGTATAGAAGTATTAGAGTTATAGAACGTAGAAAAATGTTATCAGCGTATACAAATTTCTATTATTTACGATTCAAGTAAAAATATTTGCATTTCAAATACAGATTCGTTATTTTTTGCTGTGCTGTTTTGGATCTTACTCTGTATAATTTAAAATATGCAGATATGGTCCAACGTGCACTCTACTCAGAAAAATCTCACCTAATATTTTCATATTAAGCTAAGGACGGTCAATTGTATATTCAATTGTTCAGGTGAATCAATTGCTTATACCTTTTGTGACTAGTAGAAACGCTACCAGCCTGAGAGCGATGATTTTAAAGTGAGTTTACTCCTTAAGTATTCTATTCTATTCTAATCCACAGTCTCTTTTTGCGAATGCAAGCATGTGAGTTCCACATTTTAGCCCCACCCTCAAGATAATTGAAAAAAATCACATTCTAATAGTTCACGATCAACAAAAAACAATGTTTTCCGACTTTACAAACTTGATTTTAACAAGAAATCAAATAGATAAGCAACAACAAACGTACGATCAAGCGCAAGCGTTCACATTCAACTGATATAAACATCAAATCTCTGCACTCGATGATTATCGCGATCGACAACATAAAGATTATATTTTCGATCAAATGCCAAATCTTTGGCATCATCAAATTGATTTGCTTGGTTTCCCTCTCCATTACCACCAACAACCGTCTCACCTGTTTCACATCCTTTACACCAGTGCATTACTCGATTGTTCCCTCCGTCTACTACATAGAGATTATTCATATGATCAACGAATAATCCTTGAGGATACTTCAGAGAGCCAGCGACGATACTGTTGTACTGCATATCTTTCACCTGTTTTATAACTCGATTATTTCCCCAATCTGATATATAAATGGAACGATTCTCATCAACAAATATATAGGTAGGCTCAACGAAATGTTTTGTATTGTTCAGTCCCGTTGTCAAGACTGTTCCAACTGTATCACTGTCGCCAAATCGTATGATTTTTGAGTTTTCATAGCAAGCAGCATATAGATTACGGCTGTCGTCCATAGCCAAAGACCAGCAATCAATCGATCTAATGACTATTTCGGGAATTTTCTCCCTTTGACGAAACCATCGCACTATGCGCTCATTTCCTTTATCACAAATGATGAGGGAATCGTACTTCTTATCGAAAATCACGTCTGTCGGTTCACTTAAATGTATACCAGCTCCCCGCAAGTTGCCACCGGCAACAATCTGCCCTTCGCTTGAATTAAATCCCCATGCCATGATCAGTAACGTAAATCATTTGATGGTCATCGTCGTCAGCAATCGCGGTGCCATATGGTTTCGACAACTGATTTAATTCACTACCACTTCCATGTCCTCCTGCAACAGTGTTCGCATTTTGTGTCCATTTAAGACTAGTATAATTGTGAGCAGAAGGTAGCAGATGCTCTAGAAAATGAAGATTTACACGGTAAAAATCTAATTTATTAATTACATATTTAACAACTTTTTGAAATATAATTCACATTATCCTCTTACGTTTCTATACCACCTTAAATCTAACTCATATTCACACATATCTATTTCATAGAACTCCTCAGTAAGCTTACAAGAAATTATTTAGTTTGTTTTATAAAAACATACCTTCTGTTAGCGTTGTTATTATCGATCTTGAAGTTGTTGCTACCGTGTATACTGATGATACTTCCGATGTCGTATTCATTGTTGGTGTTGTTGGCACTGTATATACTAAGGATGTCGATGACGTTATGTTCGTCGCTGGCGTATCTATAGTATCTTTATTCTTCAGTAAAATATTAACCACTGGAGTACTTGTGGTTAATATAAGAGCTATACCAAAAGCTATGAACAAAATGAATTTTTTCCTCCAAATACTCTCGCGTCTAAATAATAATTCAGCTAAACCAGGAATTGCCATTCATAGGCTGCACGTACCGTGTTTGGAGTGGAATGGTTGATGATTCTGTCATATTCGGATCCATCGATGCGGACGACTAGAATATAATGCAAAAAAAAACAGAAATCACCCTGTTTTGCTTATACACAAGGACTAAAACCTTACATCACGGACTTCTATTTTGTTACGCTTCATCATTCAGATATTGTGTTACAAAGAATAAGCTATCTAAAATCATTCAACTTTTTTAATTAATTGAAAAGAAGATAAAAGATGAAGATGATTATACAGTGGACACATGAAACGCAATATCAAAGACATTTGACCGTTGAATAGTGAACTTGAAACTCGCAAAGTTGCTCACATGCATATATTCCACAAAATGACTTTGTTTGCTTCTTCATTAAACCGTACCAGATGTCATTTAAAAAAATACTGTTATTCTATGAAAGATACCTGTATATAATGCCTATTCCACCCGATATTCAGCTCTGATTATCAGCTTTACGTAGTATTTTCAAATATTAAATATAGAATGTAAATTGATTTGCAATCAAAGCAGCTGAAGAGTATATATAAATGCCATTTTCTTATCTACTCACCAAAGTGTTTCCCTATAGCATATGTTAGGATTATTAGTAAAAAACTACAATTGTTTAGTAAGTATACAAGAAAAATATTAATATCAGCCATCACGTTTTTTTTATAATATTCAGTGTGAGTAGAGAAAACAGTATGAGAAGTTCTAGCTGAATAGCTGTATCAATGTATATTGCCTTGAGAAACAGAAGGTAACGACGACTAAAGTGAATTTTTACGAAAGAGTGAGGAGGTGGGTATTTTCCTGCATGTCATGCCCATCCTCGCCGTATTCAGTAAATTATGATATCTTTCATTTGTTTTTTAACTGAAGTTGTATGGCACTCCTTACATTGCTCCGTAATTTCCCATACCACCTATTGGATGACCGGTCATATTTCCCATTCGAGCCATGGGAATACTACGCATGTTTCCACAGATAAATTGTTGGTAAGCCGTACTAAATGGTGGTGCCCATTGAACAATGACGGTGACTCCTGGGCGATTGTGTAATGTGTTACCGAATCCACCAATAGTTTCCAACTCTGCAGTAGCTCCATAACCAACGTCTAAACCTTCTTGATGAGTGCCATTTCCAAGTCTTCTAGCTGCTCCATGGTGATCACCGTGATATCTACTATATTGTTGCAATTGACCGGTGGACTATCGAAACATTCTATGTTATTTTGACTGTACAACTATTTGTGGGAAGCAAAAATACATTTATTTCGACTATAAACGTGATTATGCATTTTTATTGATGAGAAAATAAAGAATCACTATCTAAAGTCATGTACTATCAATCACATCCAACTTGTATATTTACTTTCTAATATGCTTGAAAAACTAACAGGCACAGGTGTTCTGTTTTTGTTTGATTTCAAAAGAATACGGCAAAACAAACTACGTCACTTCAGTCGATTATATTGCATAATGAAGCATAAACTGAATATAAGATAAGAAGGAAAAAATAGAGAGCGGAGAATATGTGGCATAGCCACAGTGGTAAGGACGCACAGGCAACGCAGGAGTAGTTTACAATTCGGATGCAACAATCGGGAAGGGTCAGGTGTGAGTGCATATCGTCCCATCACGCACTCACAATGTCGATGAATCGCTTGTCATGGGAAAGAATAATTCTGTGCAGCACATGTCACGCGGCTGAAACATCCTCCGAAAACACACGATCAACTATAATATTCAATCCGCTTGTGAGATCCTTTTGTGGAATTCAGGTTATTTTTTGAAGAAAAATAGCGAGTGTAAGTTCTATATTCAGGATCTTTGGATCGCCCCCCTCTCCCCCAATGGGCCATAAGCCGCTACGAGGTCACAGAGTACAAATTAATTGTTATTTTACGCCGACTTTCTCGACATTCGATAGCACTAAGTCAAAATTGCCATGATCATTGCTTCTCATAATATCTGAAAATCATTCTGATAAATAGAAAAAAGAGATTAGATTATTATTGTTTGAGATTGACTACGAAAGAAACATATTCTTTGATATATGATAGTGACAAGAAGTATGCGTCCTGCTCGTTTGATAGATTGACAACCGATTAGGATTATTTTTGTGGATATTTCGATCTATATTTTGTTCAATAGAGATATGTCAGTTTTTCTTCGATATCAGCAAGTGATGAAAAATCAAAGTCAGGTATATATTGAGTTATATTTTCAAGAACTTTTTATGAGTTTCATTATATTTCGTATATATTATAGTAGTTTAAAGGAGTCAAAAATATTTCGAAACGAGATATCATAAAATTTTCTTATGTAAAAACAAGTAACTCTCATCCTATGGATTCGCCGATCCTTTTCTGAAAGAATTGTTCTACTGCTGAGCGTATTCAGATACGCTGAAAACAAACAGGGCATTGGTTATTACTGGCCCTCATCTAGATCACGACATTGTGTTCCACGCGAGAATTAATACACGACAAAGATTCTTCTTTTTTTCATGAACCGAATCAATTATCCATTTATCAGGGAATAGTTTCCAGGTACTAGCTATGTTTACTAAAAGCCCTACCGCTTAGCGGTTAGCCATTTGCAGGCCTCGCTCCGGTCAACCACTCACGAATACCTATTAATCTTTATAATCTGTTTTTCTATTTTCACAAAAAATGATACCATTTTGAATATTTTTGCTAGGGAATGTTCGTGAAATCCCTTTTAAAATTCTTTCTTCAAGTTTGATAAGGTTGTTCCAGATGTCTGATCTGAAGTTAATCTGGAATGCTAACGCGTAGTCGGTCGGCCACTCACAGCTAGCCGTTGATGCGTACATAATCGGTTTCCTACTTCCAGGCCAAAAAATTAATCCGATTATAATGCGTCAGTTCCCATAAGAGTTATTGACATTTCACATGATAGTGTGTTCTAAAGCATAGATTTTATTCGTCTCTCTAGTATTAGCAGGCGATAATGGATTAATCTCGTTCGCAACAATATAATAATTACATTTCTTCGAAAAATCATTGAGTATCTAGCTATTTCAATTCTCATTTTCAACGAGATCCTTCAAAAAAATGTCTATCTGTCAACCGATCTCGCTCCAGCCCGTCACTCATGCCTGTAGAATTTCAAGAGTTTTCCAATATATATTTCATTTTTAACTTCTTCCAAAGCAAACGTGTGAGTTAACTTTCAATCTGGTTGACCTTAATCCATAAATACGACAAATAGTCGAATTGATAAAAGTAAATCCTTGCTGTAGTATTAATAAATGATACCTAGTTAATCTATAGTTAATTAATAGTTAATAATCAATTAAAACAAACCTCAGATTCGAGATTGTCGACTCCGATTACCCTTCGGCCGACCCTTATTCGACACTATAAGAACTCATAATCAGCTAACTAGCTAATTAACGAATTCAGATTTCTGAAAAAAACCTAACACCGGATTCTGGATCTTCGACTCCGATTACCATGGATCAGTTGTTTTCTAATGGCTATCCTTGAATTTTGATGGGCTTGTAAAATGCCGCGATCTGATTGGATTTATGGAAACAAACAAACTTTTAGCATTTTAACGACCGTATTTTATAAGCTATAACCCTTTCTTTCAGAAAAGGGAATAAATTCTTCTATGATTATTTTGAAATAAGAATATGTATTGACTGGAATTATTCCAGAAAAAACGAATTCATGAATTGTTAATTTTTTGCTTTCGCAGAATTTTCTTTCCCATTCTATCGTTAATAACAAAATCCACACAATTCTTATTAGAATCTCTCGATCGATACTAATCCGTTTAGTTATTTCTGACTATATTTGCGACAGTGTAAAAATGATTAATTAGGTAACATTCAATTTATTAACCTTATTCATGAAATATTATTATATTTTATTGATTACGACGCTAGTTTGTCATTGGCAAAAAGTTAAATTTCATCTGGAAAGCAGGATATTTTAACTGAACAAATAGAACAAGAATATAATTTAAATTACATTTTCTCTTCTTTTAGAAAAATAAATACTTAGATTTTTTGGTGAAAGAATTGAAGATTCATATATAAAAAGCTTATAACGATACATATATGTGTTTCGTAAGTGTAAAAAACAAGAAGAGTAAGAAGATTTTTCTTTTGTTAAACCTAGTACTACTAACCCCTTTCTCACATTTTGTAAGTTCGTGTATGTGTTCTAAAAGCGGATTTCTATATAATCAGTTACTACATCTCAAAACCATGTATGTAATCTGAAAACTGTTGTTTATTCTATTCTCAAACGTCAATTTGCCTTTAAAGCGATTTATTTCCTCCGATAATAACAGAGGTATACCTTAAACTCAATTACACTCTGAACTATACAGACAATCTCACTTCGCATCTATTCGTGAAAATTTCAAGTTATTAAAACATTTCATTGTTTTGTTAGGTTTACCACCATTAGAGTCAAAAATGATCGAAGCTGATGATACTAAGGTTAATATGAAAGAATAAGAATGATACTTAGATTTAAATATTAATTCATTTATGAAGACAATCTGCTTAATAAATATTTCCAGTAAAGATCTGCGTTTCAGCCTCCATATCTCTTTGATATCTGTGTCCACACCCTCACCCTCACTCTTCAGTTTTCATGTGTACTGAAGCTCAAAATACTCTCTCAAGTTCTAATTTATTGATTTGCTGATGTTGTAGTTTTTTATTTGTCTTCTATAAAAAAATATTTCTGCTGGGTACCTGATCCTTGCTTTACATAATAAGCAAATACAGGAACACAAAAAAAGAACGTTGAGAGAATCAGCAGATGGAGTAAATTGTGGTGTAAAAGAACAAATGGTTGTATATCGATGTACTTTTATTATAATCGTAGAAAGATGAGGTATTATTTAACTACGTTGTTAATTTGCACTGTTACACATCTACTTACGAGTTCTGATGCCATATTTAATAATAATGATTCTGAATCAATATGGTCTACTGGCAAGGGCAATGCTCAAAACACTTATCGCATTGTACCATCCATGGCTACTAATTATTCGAAAATTCCGTGGACTTATGAATATAATGCAACGTCACAGGATCTCACTCAGTTTGGCCGAGGTGTTGGTATTAACGGTGATATTTACTTTTTTCTGAGCCAAACAAGATCTCAACCAGGCAAGTACAATTTGTTCGAAATGCTTTTTTTATTGAATATTGAGTGTCTTTAGAATTTAGGAGTTCACTTTTGATTTTCAGTTGTTTTCTAAGAGGGTCTCTTACATTTTTTAAATTTAATTTTGAATTAATAAATATGAACAGTTTTTGTGTTTAGCTAACTTTATGGTGTGTCTTACATCAAATGGCATTGTTCGTTGGACACTCTCTTTCGAGCCTGTAGAAACTATGGAACCTGCTGGTGTTTCCAATATTATTTCTGATCGACAAGGAGTGCTCTTTTATACCATATCCTGGGCGGGAGATAGAAAATTTACAGCAAAACTCTGTCAAATTACAAATGCTCAAACGTCACAACCTGTTCAACAGTGTATAGAAAATTATCAACTGTTTATGTCCACCAATGCACCACTGGCTTTGAATGAAAAATATGATCTTCTAGTGACAGCGGTCGAGGATAACAAAATTGATTCGATTCCAGCTGTTTTGGATAAAAAGACGCTAAAGTTGCTATGGACGAATAGACGCTTCTTTGGTGCGGGCAGAAATGGGCAGTATCGATGTGATACGAGTACTGGCGATATATTCTGGATTGGCGGAGATACTCGCCTGTTAAAATTTGATCACAGTGGAAAGAATTTAATAAACAATTATACAGATGCATATTTGTCTGGTATAGACTTCGTTTTAGATAAGCAGCGTCAAATAATTGTGCAGCCCTGGCAAAATGCATCTAGTTTGCCGTGGAAACTTGTCGTTTCATCGTATGATGTGTCTGCACAACAAATTAAATTACGTTGGAGCTGGTGTCCACCATCATCAATTGGTAATAATGATGGTATAACATCTCCAGCTATCGACGAGCAAGGTACGGCTTATATGTCAAGTATGCCTCTTGCATTTGCTATTGACAGTCAAGGAAAAACTGTATGGACAACTCAATTAGCCACATCAAGCGAAATGAAAACATTTGAATTATATTCCACTTGTGTTGCAATGAATTCAAAACGACGCGTCCTCTATATTGTGTCCGTTTCTCAATCTCGTCAGGGGTCAAAGTCCCTGTGTTTCATCACTGCGGTTAGCATGGACACTGGAAAGGTGATTGAACGTATTAATTTGAATTTAACAACCAATGAGCAAATCATACCGCAATGCCCAATTTTAGTTGGCGATGAAATGCTCTATTTCTCCTGGCTGACAGGAGAGTATCCAGAATTGGTACCACTTAAAGTAATGGGCATTCAGCAAGTTTAGACGTCTGAACACTTATTTTGATATATGATTGTGTGTGAAAATTGGTGTAGTCCCTCTAAAAATAATAAAAACATAGTTAAGTAGTGAAATATTATTTTTATATCATGCTTTATATTACATGAATGCTGTAACTTAAAACGAAACAAAAATAATTTAGTTATACTCTCGTACAAATCAGTTGATTTGAACAAGGAAGAATTAAATCTCTTCATAACTTTAGATAACTTATTACAAATATAATAGCCCGGCGCCAATTAATTTCACGACTTCGATCTTAAGAATTCCTTGCGTTCTGTATAAACACGAAAAAATTAATAAAGCCTCTTGATGGTGTGAGTTGAATTTAAGGAATATCCTCAACCTCCGCAAGGACTATGATTTAAGATTGGAAATAAAGAATCAGCAATTTTCTCAATATTAATAGGAGTTAATCCAGATGCTACAATTGTATAGTTTCCATCAATATTTTGATTAAATGTTATTATTCGCATAACATACTGTGTTGAAGCTTGGAGATGTATTTGAATTTTAAACTGATTTTCATCACTATCATTATCATTATAAGCAATTAGTGTATAATATCGAGCATTTTTTCTAAGATTATAATCAAATTCGCCGAACGTAATTATTAATGTCAACTAATAATCATAAATACAGAAGAAATAGTGATGGAAATAGCTATTGAGTATTGGTCATAAAAATAATTCGATCCATAACTATTGGAATGATTATAATTTAAATGATCGATTGTTGTATTTATCATAAATAACCTACCTGTTGTTGTTGAAATTGGTGGTAGTGTAACACCATCTGATGAACAATTATAAAGTTATCCAATAAAAGTATTTTATGTCAGTGATTCTATTCCTGTCAAATCATTCTTTGAAAAAGCAGTTGATTGATAAACATAAGATTATTTTATGTATTAACAGTTGTATTCGAATATTTATTAAGATTATGTTCCTAATCTATAATATTAAGAATAGAAATAGACGTTATTTTATGAAAAAGTCTTCTTCTTTTTACCCGATTGAATATTTTCATAATTAACTCGAACATATCGATCACGATCTGATCGTTATTATTCATGATAAAAGCCGATGATCAATTGAAATATTTGTTCAAAATTGAATACATTTAATATTATCAATTAATAAAATTCGTTCCATTTGTTTGCATTTCATTGCAATAATAAACGATTCTTCCATTGATGCTATAGAACAAATTGATTATCGTTACAAATCAAACTCATCGATTAATGAAAACTTTGAATACCATAGCCAGATAGAATTTCATATGGTATAATCCCATTTATCCATGGTACTGATAAAGCACGAAATGAAATTCCACGCTAAGACATTAATATGACAATGATCAACTAAAAAAGTTTGACGAAATAATTTGCCAGATTTATTCAAATAGAGGATTTGATTTAATTCAAAGAACTAAATATTTTCTAATTTCATATCGTATTTATAAACTCATATTAACGAATGATTTGCAAATACCAACAGAAAAGAAAACTTTATATTAATTCTATTATTAATCACATTTCCTATTGGAGTTGTATTTTTCGCTTTAGGTGAGTGATTAACAAATCTTAAAAACCCTTGAAATTGTAAGTATATCAGTAAAAAATAAAAATAAATTATGTATTTCAAATGTAATTTTGAAAGAAAAGAATTAATGTGATAGAAAATCTAGGAATGGCAATTAGATGAAAGGCTCTGAAAAGAATATAATTTGTTCTCTAATGATACAACCTAATTTATTCTATCCATATCTATAAATTATAGACGCTCAAAGATAAAGTAAAAGTAAGCTTTTCTATTAGATACTTGTAATCTTCGTAAATGAATATCTTTTGTTTTTCTTCTGAAAGAAATGACAAGGGCATTTTAGTAGATACTGTTTTTTTTTGTAGATTATTAGTTATATATAATGTTGACATCGATAAATCCATATGAAATAATTGAATTTTACTATGTTCGTTATTTTTGTTTGACTCTGTTAATTTTTGGAACATTTGGTAATATAGTTAATATTTGTATATTTACATGTTCAAAATTTCGTTCAGTTTCGTGTTCATGGTATTTTTTAATTGGTACATTTGAAAATTTCATTGCACTTTATATTGGATGTCTTACACGTTTCCTATCAACATTTAATATTAATCCTACAACACCATTATCAGCTTCTCTATATTGTAAATTTCGATCATATTTTACCTATGGAAGTTTATCTACATCAATTTGGCTTATTATTGGAGCATGTATTGATCGATGGGCATCAAGTTCTTCAAATGTTCAAATAAGATCAATAAGCACTATTAAAATGGCGAAACGAATTCTCCATCTTATTTACAGTCCAATATTATATTCTTATAACGGTTCATATCAATTGCCATCATCAGATTGTATTACACTTACTCCAATATGGCAATTATATATTAGTGCTGGTTTTTTTCTTACTTATTCATTTTTACCCTGTTGTCTCATGTTAATATTTGGTTTAATGACAATTGAAAATGTTCGAACAAGTCGACGACGTATAGCACAAATACAAAATACGAGGAAAACATCAATACAAATGGCTTTTATGCTTTTTATGCAAGTTATTTGTTCGATTATTATTTCATTACCAATTTCTTTACAAAGTATGTACAATGTTTTAACAAGAAATGATTACAAATCAATCGAACAACAACAATTGGAGAATTTTCTCAATACTCTATTTGTAACGTTTACATTTATGAATAGCGCAATATCATTCTATATATTTACATTGACAGGAAAAATATTTCGAAAAGAATTAAAGAAATTTTTATGTTAGAAACTTAGAAATTATCTATTGTAAATAAACAACATAACGATGGTGTTGTCTTGTTCACGAGCAATTCTATAATTTCAACACAATGATTGTTGATCAAGAGCCCATGTCGGTGATTCTTCGACTATATCGTTACTATTATTAATAAATATGTTAATATTCACTAGAGAGATATCGCTGATTTCGGCTCAAATCTAATAGTTCTTTGAGATTCAAAAGAAATATTTGTTCAGTTTGAATTGAAGAAAAAACATGTCGCTTTAGAACTGCGCTTAACCGACGGCGCAGGAGCAGTTTGAGTAGCATGGAAATATAATGAAAGCATCATTTTAATAATCTTTACAACATTTATCCGATAAGGCAATAAAATAGATGTACTGTAATCATTATTGTACATATTTTTTTAAACAAACATAACAGAAATGCAACTTCATGTCAGTGTTGTGAGCTACAATAATCTTCTTTTAAAACTGGTTCAATAATCTTGATTCGCGTTAAATAAATAATGAACTTGATATACGTAATGATGATTATAATCATAAGGAAACATTGATTAACCCATGTAAGCATTTTTTGGATCTAAACGCGCTTTCATCGCGTCCGAATCGCGTCTAAATCACAGTAATTGAGCGCGTCCCAGGTGAAACAATCGGAGCATCTAGACGCAGTACAAAACTGACTGCGTCTAAACGCACTTCAATTTGAGCTGCGTCCTGGGTGAAACTATCGGAGCGTCTGAACGCGTTCACATTAAATTTCAAAATTAGGCAAAAAATCTTTCAGCCATCTCAGATTCGAACTGAGTCGCCACCGCAGTTATGTCCTGGTGGTCTTAGACTATTGTCGCACACGAACTGAATTTTTATCTTACATGCCGAAGTGTAGATTTGAACGGATGAACCATCGATCAGAAGTCTTGAACATACACCACTAAGCTATACTTGCTCGAAACATATCAGTATAGAAAAGAATATGTATTTGAATACACGTTTAGACTTCTACATGAGGATAACGATACTCATTTTACGTGATTTTGAAGGAAAATAATTCGTCGTCTCACTTGCTTCCGATAATCTCATTCAATTTCAAACTAATTTGGATTTTATTTCTTTTTCTATTTCTATTTGAGATTTCATTTACGATAAAAACATACTGAATGAGATACTGATCTGACAGATATTGATGATCAATGACCTTCAACTGATTTAAAAGATTTGGTTTGAAGAACAGATATTGAATAATCGTTGATAATATCTTTCAATATGTATGATGATTTCCATCCAGCTATTCTGTAACTGACAGAGTATATTTTAGTTGAGCGTCTTTACATAAAGCAAACTGCTTTGATATTTAAAAAGACAGAGAATCAGTGGTTATTTGGAACGTAACTTAGACAAAGCTACCAAAAGGAAACGCATTTTTAGAGAATTCGAAACGCATCTCAAATCTGTTAAGCCGCGTCTAAACGTATTTCAGTTACATTTTTCAACGCAGCCAAGTGCTACTTTCTACAAAGATGCGTCCAATTGCGTTTAAAACCAGTTGTAGTTGCGTTTGGATACGGTTTAAACTTCCATCGCGTCTGGTTGCGTTTTTCTTTTTGAGTTAAGACCGTGTGTAGACGCGATTCTGTTAACAGACGCATCTGAATGCAGCTAAAAAGTCTTTTGGCTGCGTCTGAACGCGGTCATACACAAAATTGCGTCAAAGTGCAAGAAAAAATTATTTTGTTTTGCATTCAGACGCAGTTATCTTGAGATACGCGTTTGAACGCGATAAAATTGATTTTAAACCGCGTCTACGTGCGATTTGCGAAGTAAATTGCGTCGGAACGCGTTTATCCTGCGTCTGGCGTTTACATGGGNCAGCTAAAAAATCTTTTGGCTGCGTCTGAACGCGGTCATACACAAAATTGCGTCAAAGTGCAAGAAAAAATTATTTTGTTTTGCATTCAGACGCAGTTATCTTGAGATACGCGTTTGAACGCGATAAAATTGATTTTAAACCGCGTCTACGTGCGATTTGCGAAGTAAATTGCGTCGGAACGCGTTTATCCTGCGTCTGGCGTTTACATGGGAAGCCATTTCATAGTGAAGATATTTTACTTCTTATTTCATCTACATCGATAATTAATCGTAAAAGAAGAACAACAAAATATGTTGGCATTACACATATTTCTTATACAAATTTAGCATCTGATGATACTCACGAAACATTCACTTTGATAGTTCATTTTAATATTGAAGATCGAATCAAAACTTCACGTCTCATATATACAATTATTTGTCAAAGGATTTATTCACAAGATTTCCCTATTTTTCTCGGATATTTTGAGTCAATGACAACAACTAAAATAATTCTATCTAATGATGATAGATCTATTTTTTGTTTTATGACAAGATTTTGGTGAAGTGACAGCAAAATTATATTATTACTATCATATAATAAATATGAAAATCGAATAATTATCTTAACTGATGGGAAATCGTGTACATTGAAAGAAACAGCATCATTAGTATCAAGTATTTTAGATCCAGATGAAAAATGGTACATCTTGCGGGCAACAACTCATCGTTACGACCTCAAGATGTTAAATATGAATGTTTTTATGAACTATTATTATTCATATGAATAGTAAGATGTTCAATAAATTACAGAATTAAGATAAAGATATTATTTTATATCTATTCTTTTTATTAATGAAAACCATCATCAACAAATCCAAGAGAATGATGTGAACTTTAATAGAATATTTTTTGTAAAAATCAATTAATTTTTCTTACAGGAACTTTTATCAATAAGAAATTTTTGGACCCGATTATTCATTTTATCAGAAACATATAAATTTCCTTCGCGATCAAGAAATAAATCAGTAGGACTATGAAATTGATCTGAATTAGAACCTTCACCATTTCCTCCAGCAATTAATGTTCCATTCGTTGCATCTTTTAACCAACGCATTATTCGATTATTTCCTTGATCTGCAACATAAATAGAACCTTGTTGATCAACATAAACACCTGATGGATTATCAAATTGATCATAACTATCGCCTGCCTTGTTGGATTGACCAGCAACAAGAATTGGTTCTTCATCGTTTTCATTTATTTTAACAATTCGATGTGTTAAATATCCTGTTGAATAAATCGTTCGATTTTCATCAATAAATATGAACATTGATTGTTGTAATTTTGATACAATAAAATCTCCATCAAACTCATTATCATTGAAATTCCATTTTGTAATTTGCCCATCGGCATATTCTGATATATAAATAAATCCTTGGTTATCTTGTGCAATTCCTGTCGATTGTATATTATCAACAAGAACTTCACATTCATCTTGATCTTGATAACAACGAACTACCCGATGATGTCCACCATCAGTTACATAAACAGTACCATTGTTATCAACAATAATATCGTATGGAATAAATAATGGAAAAGTATGATTAGTATTTGGGCCTTTAACACCGGCAATCCATTGACCAATTGTTGCATTTTGTTCCCATCTAACAATTCGATCATTATTTCCATCAGTAATATAAATATTATCGTTATTATCAAGAAATATTCCCATAGGATGAGCTAATTGATCAAGTTTATCTCCATAATCATGTCCACCAGCAACTGTTATACCTTGTTTTGACCATGTTGCTGTTGAACAAATTTCTGAATCTATTCAAAAGAAATTTATATTTACAAAATCCAAACTTTTATTTTATTCACTTGATAAACTAAAATAAAAGAAATAATATTCAGAACTGATGAAAAAATGAAACAGAAAAAACACCTTACTTGATAAGAAAAATAAAGAAATAAAAGAAGAAAAACATTTTGTAATGATAAAAAATATCAGATATTTTCTCTTTAAATATATCGTTTTTTTTTTGTCTAATCATCAATACATAAGCCTTTTATTTTTTTAGCTTTGTATCATTCGATATCAATTAATTTGTTTCAATGATGATGCGAAGTAATCTTCTCCGAACGATGTTAAATACGATAGGCGATCAGCACGAATATTAGATTTGATGCGTAATAGGGATTTCCGGCAAACTCGATATATTCCGGATGTCAGCTCAATTGACGAAAATTAAAAGAAGCTTTTCACGCTACATCAGTGTAACCTTGCAATTCTATGTGATGAAGATTATATCTGACTGAGGGTGAAGGAGTGTTGATCAGAATGGGCGTATATGCCCATTATGCCTGATCTAATAAAAGCCCGTAGTATCTTTACTGTGAGGATGTTGCGAATTGCAACTTCCTTATTCCATCTTTGTGTCAAAAATGCATTTCCCGGAAAACGCTATAACGCGTCATATGCAAAATCAAATAGAATGTAGAAATTTTTCTCAATTATTTAGGAATAATAAAAAGCGATTTTCTTGTTGAATCAATAAAAAATATTGATTTAACCTGAAAAAGTAACATTCACTGCTGATATCTCAATATCTGCATACTGATCATATTCAATCATTTCAACTGTTAATACTCCGCTGTGNTTATTGATATAAAGTAAGTAGTCATTAATCATTAGACGCAAATACAACCAAATTGGTTTCGAATGTAATTTTATATAATAATGGTTGTGTATGATAAAAATGTAGCGTTAAACCAGGTAATTTAACAAAAGTTTCCGATGGACCCTGTAATTCAAAGACTCTTGGTAATTGTTGTTGAATAAAATATTTTCAGGTCGAATGAAATTATTATACATTCGATTGGAACGAATTTGAATTTTCACTACATTGTAAAACCATGAAAATAAATAGAAAATAACAATACATTTTCATTGTATTCATCATTAGAAGATTTTTCTTACAGATTAAAAATCTTACATTGTTTTGCTATTTATTGACTTGAACGATGAAATTTTTTAATCATAAATCTTTATTGACATAATGTGCAATATAGTCATAATAACAAACAGAATCAAAGATGAATTTTATTGATTTTTTTCTCACAATGACACGACGATAACGAGTTTCTATCGTGCTTATGTGTGTACCGAACGTCAATAGAATATTGATAATGAAAAGACATTAGGAATCGAAAAATGATTAGTTTTTTTCTTGAATAATTATAATGGACTCAGAATCAGAATATTTTCCTATAAAATATACATAAAATCAGAACAGCACAGCAGGATGTTTTGACGTTAAATAAAGTTTAATGATCTATGTAATAATACGAATCCATCGGTATATTTTCTGATGAGGGTGAGTGAAAATCTTTTTATGATCGGAATCGACAGAGCTCGCCGAGGTCCACCTGGAACAAATGTGATCAGAATTGGAATACGCTCATGTGTAGATCCGTTTAAGAAAAGGTCCGATCCGTGCTCAAGATATCCTACATTTTTATTGATTATTTGTGAAAGAAGACAAATCTGTTAGTTTATTTTTAATAGATTTGGAATCGAATAGAATCAGATTATTTATCAACTGGCGGATGTGCAGGTAGTGTTCTTGCAATAACTTGTTCTGGACCCCAATGAACAATACCAGGAAAATGAGTTGGATCAACATGAGTGTGAGCATCTAATTGAGAATTCATAGATACATTGATCTGCTCAGAACCACCTGTTGATGGAGGAACATTTCCTACACCAGGAACTTTTCAAATAGAAAAAAAAGAAAGTGTTTTTCAAAGATTCATACAATTAATTACCTGAATCATGTCCACCAGCAAATCCACTGAAGACAGTGTCATTTGAATTCATATTTTCTGTCGAGATATTTGTTATACCGACGAAGATCAAAGAAATGAATCTATACAAATGTATAACGATTGCTTATATGAATGGGATTTTTTTTCATGTCATACGTCGTTGTACAGCATATATAGAAGAAAC